AGCCACACCCACACAACCACAGGCGCGCCCACCCACGCCCCCCAATACGGGCAAGGTAAGCATTGTCCTTCGAGTGGATATTTATGCTGAATTTGTGTCATTTAAATGTATGCAAAAAGGGCAAAGTTCGCCTAGAAATGTGTTTTAAATGTTATCTCTCGCCGGCAGCTGTGTAAGTTTTATGTCGCACCCGGCCCTCGGAGACAGTTCAAGGACGAACCAAGGAAACCAAATTGACATGGATAATATCTACAGATCGGTGACAAAGGTGCACCCACCTCTCAAATCTTATTATTCCATTTATGTACTCGTACATATTTACATACATATGTACATACATATGTAGATTATGGAATTCTTTTGCTACTGTGGCCAAAACACTTTCCATAGCTGACAACCCACACCACACCTCCCGCACACCAAATTGGCCAACTAATCAAAGGCCCAGCCAGCTTTTATGGCAAATTAATCGCCGCGGCTCGAAAGCTATTAAAAGCAGATCGCTGTTCGATTCGGAATTGGACAAATCAGCTTAGAAGTTGTTTTGCTTATGGCCATATGGCCATCGATCGATCGATTTCGCATCGCTGTTCACGGATTTCCGCTCCCAAGCTACTAGAATTTCCAGGCCTGCCTGATTCGGGGCCTCGAGTGGCGTCTTAGAGCGGGTCATTTGATACAGAAAAGAAAGGATGGGTGCCATGGATGCCATTGATGCCATGGATGCCATGGGATGGGATGGCTGTAGGAGTAGCGATTAGCATGTTAAACAAACGGTTCGGTGGGTTCTGTGGGTTCTGTGGGTTCTGTCGGCGGCTGCTTAAGTTCTATAATTAAGCGACATAAACTTGGGTATTAGGCGCTAAATACACAAAAATAAAGCGCTCCTCCAGAGACTGTGCGCCTGTGTCACTCCAGTCCACTCCACTCCACGATTTGCATAACTGTTTGGCTGGGCCACGCACTTGGAACTTGGTCATGGGTCTGGGCTGTGGCTCTGACTGTGGGTCTTGGGCTGCATTCAGAAACAGACGGACGGCAAATGAAAACAGAGGCAAACACACACAAGTACAGTTTTGGGCCGTGACACGCACATGCACAGGCACATGCACCTGTCCACATAAGCGGCCAGCGTCAGCCACCGTTGGTTGGGCTTTCATTTGCTGCTAAGAAAGAGTAAACAGCGCGACGCTCGCTTCTTCTTACACACAGATACGTATACCCTAACCAAATGGGATTCCATGACATCCAACCAGTGTGCAGTGTCTCACAGTGATGGAAAACTTTTGGGGATGTAAATTGAAACTGTAAGGGTATTTCCTCTGCGTCGTTCCGCTTTTCAGCTTCACTGTCTTCATTCTCTTTTCGTGAAACACAAAAGAATTTCCATCAATAATGTCAATAGTACTGCCACAACAACAACAACAGCAACAATAACAACAATGAGATCGCGACACTCCTCTTCGCTTTGACTTTGGCTTTGGGCTTCCCTTTGGTGTGTTGGTGTTCGGTCTTCGGTCTTCGGGTTTCTCGGTCTCTCTGGGGTTCTTCTTCTGTTTTCTTTCTGCCCGCGGCGACGTCTGCGTCCGTGCCGTGCAGCATTGCAGACGAATTATGACCATTAAAGCTGCTTGGGGTTTTAAGTTATTAGGCAACTTGAATTTCAAACTGCACTTGACAAATGCACACACACACACGCCCATGCAGTGAGTCTTTATGTAAGAACTCTTTACTTTTTGGTTAGATTTGATTGAATTTCACTCAAAGGCCTTTAACAAGTCAATCGCTACATCAATGATTGTGCAGCGAGGGGGCGTTGCAGGCCAGCCTTGTATTTAATATTAGATTTTAAGGTCAGTGGGCGGACAAACCAAAGCCAACCCACCCACCCATGAAACCATTCAGTCGTCCATCCATCCGTCACCTGTTGACTGCCATGCTGTAGGAGGGGACTTTAAACCCCTTTACATCGTGGACAACCCCTAAACATTGGTCTCCATCTCCGTGTGCACTGCTTATACACGGTTCCCTTCAGCTTCAGTGACTTTGATCTATATTTAAGTTCGCAATATTGATTGTGGGGTGACTTATGTATGCTGTGAAGGGGAATCGATAAATTAATCATCTGAGTTTTTTAAATCCATCCATTCCAGCTTCTTGCTACTTTAATTCCGTGCACCCATTTTCTTTTGAATTATTTTATGACAAAGTCTTTAAACACGCCACCTATGTTTTTACACGGCAAACAGCTTAAGCTTGCAAGCAGTGCTTGGCGCTTAAAGCTCCGATGCAAGCAGTCCACGTAGAAACCGTTGGAATTCAAAAGTGAATCAAAAACTCAAAGCAATGAGAACGAACGAGCGTGGATGATGGAGCATCATGACCAAAAGACGTTATCTAAGTGTACAATCTTCTGCAAGCCCCTACGCCTGGCCGCCAGGCGCCTGCAGCACACTTCCCATCCCCGTTCAATTCACAGCCGCACCCAGTTTGCCCATTATCAAGGCAATAACCGTTTCTCAAGCGACAGCCTGAATGCAGTCATCCCATAAACAAGGCGCACGACCGACCGCTCAACCGATCGACCGACTCCTGGTCTGTCAAGCGACAGCGTTGCGAGAAACGACACCACAAGACCAGGCCAATTCATGATTGGAAACTGTCATTGGGTCGTCGTCGCCTTCCATTTGGGATTGCCAAATGCAAAACGGCGGCGTGGAGCACCGAATTCCCCCGGCTCTGTGGCAACACCAGACACGTCGGACTCGGGGCTCTAACTTTGTCAGCCCCACATCCATATAGATTTCCATGTACACTGACTGGGCTGACTGGCTGACTGGCTGATTCATTCATTAATTCAGGCAAAGCGTCATAAATGCCACGCACTTTTTATGTGCGGCTCTGTCTGCTCCTTTGCGTCGTTGATTTTGCCGTTTGTTTCTGATTTAATTAAGCAGCGTTTGTCCATTTTGCAATGTTTCTTTGTCGTTGTGTTCTGTGGAATACCCTCACGGGGAGTAGTCTGCTTTTGAGCCGAAGTTTGTGGAGAGAAACGCAAGAGGCCTTGAACCAGTGGAAGCTTGGTGGATGTGCCCTCTGAAAGGGTTTTCAATGTTTCTTCTCGACTAATCCCGACAAAAGCAAGTGGATTTCTGTTAATTAGTTGAATTGCAAACACGCGCACAATGCGAGAGAAGAATTCTTTGAATGCGAGGCATTGGGAAACCAAAAACCCAAACGAACGCTGCCACCTAGTGGTTAATTTGGTTAATTGGGCCCGTCATCCAAAAGCTGAAACATTTTGCACTCATTTGGAGCTCATGCCGCCCGATCGCCAAATCGGGCCACCGGACTTGGCTTGGCCCGTTCGATCGGAGAGCCCCACAAAAGCGGAGCATTTGGTGTGTCAATTTGGCATTAGCGCTTGCCACCCTTCTAGGCGCAAGCGCTTGGGAGCTTGGAGCGAACAGAGCGAACAGAGCGAATCCAGGGCCGAGGAATCGCTTGTAAAGCGATTGCTGGAAAATTGCTTTCCACCTCGACCAAATGTGGGGCAGTGTGGTACTGACTGGGCAGTGGAAATCTTTTATTTATAAGCGGAGATAAGTGGACATGGAACACTTGTTTGGCTTGGCAGTTGCGGCGACCATCGATCCGACCAACAATTGTTGCTTTTGACTCAATATTTGCTAATAGATTTCACATAAATCACATTCCATTGGCATGATTTATGCACGAACTCCACTCGCAGGTGTCTCGTTCTCTTCTGGTGTCTCTATCTCTGTCTTTCCTCGTCTCTTAAGTATTTTGCTTGGGGCCTCTTGAGAGGAGGCCTCCGCCAGAGTGTTGCAAGCTGAAATGTGACACGGAAATTTCGGAATCGAACCCTTTCCCTGGTCGCAGTACCTATAAATAAATACTCTACCAAGAGTTTCTTTGCAGATAATCGAGCAATTTGTTGGGCTCTTTTGAGTGATCTTTTCAGATGAAAACATAAATATTTTATGAAGCGAGCGCAGCATGCCACCGATTCATACCCTCGCCCACCCTCAAGGGGTTAATCATGAATGCAATAAAAAGTCTCACGAGCTGCCAGATGCTGCCGCACAGATTGTGGCAGCGGGAGAAGGGGCAACTGCAATGACTCCTAGCCATAAGTGTCCTCGACTTCGACTCGACTTCGACTTGGACGGCGACTCCAACTGCGACTGTGTGAGGTGGCGTGGCCGCAGACATCTGTTATGGCCATCAAATATGGTCAAATGTGGCACGCTGCGGCATTCGTGGCACGATAAAGATAAATGCGAAGCCTGGGATTGTTGAATGTTCGATTTGGCAAGCGCCCATTATGCAATTTGGGGAGAATTTCAGAGCCACACCAGGCGACAGCAGCAGCCAGCCAGCACCAGTCGGGTCGAGAATTGTTACGAGAACAATTAGACAACATTCTCCATTGGCAAATTAAGTTGTTAGTGTTGCAAGGTTGTGTTTGGGTGGGGACTCACACTGATTAGATTGGGACACCCAATTTGGGGAGTTAATCAACGAATTCAATTAGCGGAGGCTTTCTAATTCGAAACTCCCCAGTGGAAATCCAGCGCCAGCTCCAGCTCCATCTCCAGACCTCCCTTTCCTGCCACACAGCACACAGAGTACACAGAGCAGCGAAGCCTTTGCCGGCAAGTGGTCTGCCTTGCCAGATCGTTGCGTCATCAGATCTGAGCTCCATCGTGGCACAGCCGCAGCCGCAGCAGCATCCCCTCCCGCTCCCGCTCCCACTGGCAGCAACAACATCCACGAGAACTGCATTCAGGCATCGTCCACTTCAGCTTCAGATACTTCACAAATTGGTGCTGCTGGCCCGCTTTGTTGACTGTTTTGTCTGACGCTCAGTTCAGTTCAGCTCAGATCGAAATCGAAATCGTTTGGCCATCTAGTCGAGCCATCTGTCCGTTCTGTCCGCCAAGAGTGCGTGGATCGAGATCTGTTCGTGGCGGAGCGGAGCGGTTTGCACTATAAAAGTAACGCAATGCACGCAATCCATTTACAGTTGCACTTCTCCCTCGAAGCCAAGCGAATCAAAGCCAAGCAGACATGAAACTTCTGGTGAGTCGAGCAGCAGGCGCCAGGCCAGGATCCTAAGGATACTTACAGAGATCTCTGCCTGTCCAACTGTCTCCAGATCCTGACCACCACCCTGTTGGCTGTGGCGAGCGCCGCCCCCGGACTACTCGACTATGGGGGACTGGGACACACAGCGCCGGCCATTAGCTACGGACACGCTGCGCCCGCCATCAGCTATGCGGCTGCCGCTCCGGTCATCAAATCCTACGCCCCGGCCATCAGCTATGCAGCCCCCACCGTCGTGAAGTCGTACGCCGCTCCGGCCATCAGCTACGCGGCTCCGGCTCCGTCCTACAGCTATGCGGCCCATGCTCCGGCCATCAGCTATGCCGCTCCCACTGTGCTCAAGTCGTATGCCGCGCCCGTGGCAGTGGCTGCTCCGGTGGCTGTTAAATCCTACGCCCCGGCCACCAGCTACTCGCACTTCAGTTCGGTATGCAATTCGCACACAGCCCCCGTGAAGATCCAACTAATCTTTGCGCTGATCCACAGGTTGTTTCCCATGCCGCGCCCATCGTTAAGTCATATGCCGCTCCGGCCATCAGCTATGCCGCACCTGCCGTGGTCAAGTCGTACGCCGCTCCTGCCATCAGCTACGCCGCACCCGCTGTCGTCAAGTCATACGCTGCTCCGGCCATCAGCTATGCGGCTCCTGCTCCGTCCTACAGCTACGCGGCCCATGCTCCGGCCATCAGCTATGCCGCACCGGCCGTGGTCAAGTCTTACGCCGCACCCGCCATCAGCTATGCCGCACCCACACTCCTGAAGTCGTACGGCGGCTATGATGACGGCCACTACGGTTATCACTAAGCGGACGCGGCTCCATCGGGGGTTGGGGACAGGAGGCATGGAAGCGGACGAGGTCGAGGAGCTGCAACAGCCGAGGCACGTTCTTTCTTTAACATTTAACATTTCTTTCCATCCGAATCGCATCGAACCAAACCGAACCGAACCGAACCGGACCGGATCTGTCTGCTCTCTGAATATTTCGTATTTATTTAAGGATCCATTACTACTTATCTCCCACTGCAAATAAATGAAAACCATTCGACTTTTCAAACGCCACTCGTCACAGTCATCACCCCGAAGGCAATGCACACGCCAATGAAGCTCAGGTTGTTCAGGATCTTGGCCAGATGGGGCCAGGGTTTCTCCAGAATGTCACAGTACTCGTTCGCCTGCAAGAACACAGCCCTCGTATGTGGATGAACATTCACTGACTTATAGGCACTCACATCCGCATAGCGCAGTCCCAGCACACAGCGCAGGAGGTTCGAGTTGATCAACGTGGCGACGAATGCGGGCGCCTTGGACCTAGGCGGATAGCACTCCAGCCACATGATGCAGATGTGCAGCACGTAGCAGTAGCAGCTGACAATCATTACGATCTTGTAGCCCGACACTAGACGAGGGTCGCAGAGGGAACCATTTTGTACTCACAGATAATTCAGAGATGATCGACTTACTCAGGGCGGGCACATAGTGCGGAGAGGCGTGGCGCGTGATGTACATCAGAGCCCAGGAAATGATGAGGATGGCGATCAGTATGAGAGCACTGCGACGGGTGGAGCGAAGCAAAAACGACAGGATAATGAAGATCTCGCACGCTGCAACGCAACAGGAAATTTGATTATCAAATCAACACGGGAGAACTGTCCATACCAATCAGCGGCATATAAAATACCGACATGTAGAAGGCGCTGTTCCGTTGCAGCATAAACCCAATGGACACATCGCCTGTCATCGTCTGGAGCCTGCCCTGGTCTGAGTATCGACCGGCTGTGGCCGTGTCGTTGCCCAGATTCACCACCGATACGCCGACGATTGTCCAGCCCGATGGCGTGTTCACGTGCTCATTGGGTGCGATCGGACTGCGCTGTCGTTCGTAGTTTAAGATTATGTTGCTCTCGCTCGGCTGTCTGAGCACGCCGAGCTCCACGTTGCACTCGATGCGCTCCTTTGGCCAGTTACGTGCGCTGTTCACGCACCAGCTGGACAGCTCCAGGTTGCTGGCGTACAGGGTGACGTTGCCGTCCGAAAAGACACGCAGCTCGTAGGCCTTGAGCGCCTCGCCAAGCGAGTCCATGGCTCCGTTCAGAACAGTTAGCTTCGGTGTCCAGATCTGCAGGAGGGGATGCTCGAAGGACTTCAGTTGTCCGAAATCCTCGGGATCCCAGCTCAGGCGCTTATCCTGCCAGTGCTGTAGAGGGGACCAGAAGAAGGTTATTCGTTTGAACGGGCCGGAATTTCCCTGCTTACCAACATCAGATGCATTCGGGTGCTGAGCAAGGCATTGGCCTGCTCGTAGGCGATCGAGCGCGCCTGAAAGTGGAACCCAATCGTGGTTAGGTTGACCGGGACGCTCGAGTTCTCGGCCTGGAATACGAGATTCGCCAGCAGTAGCTGCTCCACTGATAGCGCAGCCGTCTCCTTTGATATTTCCTTGTCTGCAATGATGGGCAGTCAAAAGAGAAACAGGAACAATGGAGCAAGCCTTCAGGCACTCACCAAACCCATCGAAGGAGCAGTCGTAGAACCAGCGGGCCGAGTTGGTGCCAAAGGAGCTGAAGCTTATGTAGTTGATAGTCAGGGGCGAGGCGTCCATGAACTGTAAGAGCGGCTCCGTTTTGAATCCGGGTATGTAAACAAACAGCTCAGCATCTGCGGAAATGTTGGGCGTGATTTAGAGGAAGTGACGCCAGCGATAAGCACTTTGGATATCGACAGAGTCGACACGAAGCTCACCCTGCGTCTGCACAATCTCTATTGGCGTCGGCTCAAACACTGATAGTAAATTCCGATCTTGATTCGTGGAGACACGTCGCAGGCCCATGGCCGTGCGGATGGCGGAAAACGTATTTCCGCCGGCTCCTATCACTGCAATAGAGAGAGGTTAACATATCACCAATGCCATTGCGTGTCGCAGAGAAAATACATAACGGTAACCTTGACATACCAATCTCGTACACGCGGTCATTGGGGCGCAGTCTGTTTGTCACCGAGAGCAGGATGTGCGCGTCCATGCTGGTGAGCACATAGAACTTCAGGTGCAGACGCTCCTTGCCCTTGATCTGGTTGTTGTCCAGCGTGTGCACCATGAAGAAGTCCCGGTAGGCATAGCCCGCCTCCTTAATCGTATAGCTCTCGCACGAATCCAGTTGGGCAAAGCTTATGTTATATCGGCCGGCTGCCGTGTGGGCGGGCAGTGCCAGGCACAGGCAGAGAACCAGAGCAGAGTTGATAAGGCACGGAATATAATTCATTTTTCTTGCTTTTGCTGTTGCCCTTCCGTCCGATTCGACGGCGATGCGATTTCGTTATGCATTCAAATTCCGAATCGACGGCGAAATCGACTTACAAATCCCTCCAAACAAAAACCAACAATCGCATTTGTCTATCGCCGGCGAAGCCGTCGCTAAGTGTGACCGAATCTGATTATTGGCATATTTCTTAACATTATATACGGTCAGGCAGCATACTTTATCGATAAGAACACGGTCACACCAACACTTGCCCAATCATTTGCTTAAAATTGATTCGGTTGTTTTTTGTACATTTTGTGGGTTTTGGACATTAAAATTGGGTGATTAGCTCAAAAAAGAGAAGCTCCCGCAGTTGCTGCCAACATTGGCCATGGCAGATGACACACAGGATGCCAAGGCGCAGAAACTGGCCGCAGCCAGAAAGAAGGTAGGGAGAAATATTTCTCGGCGCTTGTGACGTGGACAACGTTAAGGTTTATTATTGATTTTGTTTTAAAACAATGTTGCCACAGCTGAAGGAGTATCAGCAGCGCAACAACAGCCATGCCGGAGGCGAGGAGCATTTACCCATAAGCACACACTCCTCCACCGTCAGCATTGCCAGCAACTTGTCCGAGCGCTCCGACAGCGAGGTGATTTTGAATGAAAATGGGGCAGCTGCCAACACACAGCATGTCCAGCAACAGTCGGAGGAGGAGACTACGTCCCTGGTAGCGCCGGCAGCCCTGCCCAACCCCACAGCAGCAGCGTTCTTTACCCAACCGGAACCGGAACCGGACGCGCCTATATTCGCCCAGAATGGAGCTTACAATGAGTCCTCCAATCTGCAGGCCATCCAGGTCATTATTGCGGAGAAGGCCCTGCTGAACGCTGAGCTGACCAGAGCCCGTCTCGGCTGCCGCGAGCGGGAGCTGGAACTGGAGGAGGTTCGCACCGAGCACGCCCAGACCAGACAGCGCCTCGAGCAGCTGCAGCAGCACTGTCAGGGGCAGCAGGCGGGTGTGGAAATGCAGCGCCAGCACAATGCACAGCTGCAGCACAAGCTGGCCCAATCGCAAGCACAAATCGAGGACCAGCAGTCGCATCTGCTCGAAATGGAAGCACAGCTGAAGCAGCTGAACCTCCGCCAAGATGAACTGCAGCGACAGCTTGCCGAGAAGTCGAACGAACTGGAGATGGCACAGCTGAAGTTGCGCCAGCTCTCCGACGAGTCGAACATCAATGCCGACAACCGCGTGGAGTCCCTCACCCAGACGCAGTACATGTACGAACAGCAGATCAGAGACCTGCAGGCCATGGTGGGACAGTTGACGCAAGACAAGGAGCAGGCCTCCAGCCAGTATCAGAACTATGTCCAGCACCAGTCCAGCGAGATAGCCAAGCTCAACGAGAAGAACTCTGAGCTGACCGAGGAGTTGCTCCAGCTCAGGGAACGCGAGCGCCAGCTCGTGGAGCACGTGAGTGGTCTGGAGCGCGACATACAGAAGAATCTGAGCCTGCAAGCGCAGTTCAAGGAGGCCAGCCAGCCCCAGGCGCCTGCACAGCCCCAAATCGATCAGGTAACCAAAGCACTTTCAAGGTTTTGCAATCATTTATGACCTCATATCTCTGCAGACTGCTCTGACAGCAGAGCTGGCTGCCCTCAAAGAGCGCCTCAGTGACTTTGACTTTGAGCGACACGAGTTCCAGTTGAAGATCAAGTCCCAGGATGACCAGTTGCATGGGAAGGAGGCGGCTATCGCTGAGCTGGAGCAGCAGTTGGATCGCCTGCAGGCCGAACAGCCGGATCAGACCAAACTTCTGGCCACCATGGAGTCGGACAAGGTGGCCGCCTCGCGAGCCCTCAGCCAGAATGTGGAGATGAAGCAACAGCTGGACGAGCTGGAGCAAAAGTTTGTCCAGCTAACAAACGACAAGGCTGAGCTGGTCATCCGCCTGGATGCTGAGGAGTTTGCCAATCGCGAGATACGACACAATTTCGACAGCATGCAGCAGAAGCTGCTGGCCAACGAGGAGCGCTTCAAGTTCAAGGACGAAGAGATGATTCGCCTCTCGCACGAGAATGTGGAACTCCAACGCCAGCAGCTGATGCTGAAGCAGCAACTGGATCGTCTGAAGCACTATGAGGTGGGTGGATAATGGCACATTTTGTCCCTGGGCTTGTCATCTTAACAAGGTTTATTTCGCAGGTCAATGCCTACCATAGCCAGTCGAGTAAGCCAGTCGGTGATGAAACTGGAGATGCAGAAGAGAGCGAAACCAAGGAGCACCATGCTCATGATCATGATCATCCCGATCACCATTCACATGATCATTCGCACGACCATCACGATCCACATGATCATTCAGATGGCCATTCACATGAACATTCGCATGGCCATTCACACGACCATCATCAGGAGCAATTGTCACCCGGCTCTCTGCCCACGGCCGAGGCTGTGGAGAGGCTGCAGGCGCGTTTCACCACACTGATTAGCCAAGTGGCCGATCTGACTGAGGAGAAGCACAGCCTGGAGCATCTGGTGCTCCAGCTGCAGGGCGAGACTGAGACGATTGGCGAGTACATAGCCCTGTACCAGACGCAGCGACGGATGCTAAAGCAGCGCGAGTACGAGAAGGCTACTCAGATGAGTCTGCTGCAGGCCGAGCGCGAGCAGCTGAGGGAGAAGATTGAGGCGCTCAACAAGCTGGTGGCCAGCCTGGGCGTGGAGTTGCCCGCCGACCAAGTCCAAGGGCAACCGCAGGCAGCAACACTTCAGCACTTGCCGAGCGAACAGGCGGTTCCTCGGACACAGACTGCCTCCCATGAAGACAGCAATGGGGAAAACTCGCAGCAGATTCTGAACAAGATTCAAAGCATCATCACTGAGATCAAGGAGAACACCGAGCAGCCAACGACTGCCCTCTCCGGCCATCCTGTGGATCACCTCAACTGTTGTCTGGGCAAATTCGAGGTGGTCTGATGTGGAGGCTGCTCTCAAAGTGCAATTATTGTCGGCCTCCGTAAACCAATCTACTTTATAAATATATACTATCCTATGCTATATTATCGTATTTAAATGTTCATCCTGTCCCAATCCGTTTTGTACATGTGTTTCCAAATAAATCAAGCTTTGATGGGGAGCCAACCACAAAGCAATCCTCTATACAAACACTCGAACGAAATGCACATCCAAGTGGGAATTCGCATTACGATTTAACAATATAATTTACTAAGATAATGAACATGCAAATTTTAGAAACAGGAACACATTTATGTACTGTTCTTTTTGGACTGGGAATTGTTGCGCATTTTCCTATTTAGGTTTGGCTCCTTCAGCGAGGTAGGACGACATTGGCGACTCGGCCGCCCACTGCCGCTGCAGCTGGACTGGTCATCTTGGGGACTCTTATGGCTCGCACTGAGCGTTTCCTGGCTGGTTTGAAATCTTGTCCTGGCCGTGGACACACTGACCGTCTCCTCTTGTGGGTCATTATGCGGTTTTTTCTTTGTTGTTCCGTTTTTCTTTGCGACAGCGGCCGGGGAAGAATGCGGTGTGCTGGTGCTGCCGGAGGCACTGATAATGCCATTGAATTGACTCTGGCGTGGCGAGACAACAGACATGTGCACGTGCATGGGCATCGGTGAAAGTGGCAGATGCCTCTGCTGCTGTATGCTCATCTCCTGACTGCTGTCATCAGCGTGGCAGGAAATGGTCAGGGCGGGTGGTTCTGGCTTCCCCCGAACCTGAGCGCCGCTCTCCTTGGGCACATTTTCGCTAAGCTCGCGAAGGACTTGGCCCCGCGCGGATCTAGTGCGGATTGGGGTATCTCTTACATCACAAATCTCCATCGACGGAAAGCTGTAGTTGGAGGAGTTATCCGAGGCGAACTCGTAGTCCGTTTCCTCTATGATAAAGCAGAGGCTGGCCAGTCCCGCGTTGTCGACACATGGAGAGTCCTCGTCGACGACACAGGGAGAGTCCTCGTCGACGACACAGGGAGAGTCCTCGTCGACGACACAGGGAGAGTCCTCGTCGGAGTCGTCTAAGGCCAAGGCCATTTCCGCGATGCGTCTTGGAGGTGGCGTCACTGCACTATAGATGTACTACAAGTACATTTCTTTTTAGTCTTAATCCGCAAGGGGAATGACTTTGTGTCTAATTACCTGTGTTTGTGTCTGTGTCGCCTCTGGGGATGCGGTTGCCGCATTCACTTCTGTGGCGTCTTCTGCTATGACACCGCTGCTACTGTTACGGAGTGTGCTGTTGCTGCTGCTGCTGCTGCGGCGACTGCTGGGTGAACAAGTCCTAGTAGGTCTGGTCATGTCACTGAAGCGACGCATTTCGTTACAAACTTCCTTAATGCTGGACCGTCGATTGGCAGTTGGCGATTTGAGCTCTTCCTGTTGCGTATGATTGACGCTTGCAGGGTTGTCCTCCTCCAGGTCCAGGTCCTTCATCAAGGCACTGAGGGCGCACTTTATCTGACGCTTTTTGGTGTCCATTGCCAGTACGCGGTACTCTCGCTCATCCAAGAGCTCCGTTTGTAGGTTGACGACCAGCTTTTTGTACTCCCCCAACTCCACCCGCAGCTTCTGTACATGGCCCATCAGTTCGGCATTCAATAACTTGTACTGCAGCTCTACATTTTTTGTGCTCATTTTAATCACTTTTATATATTTTTCAAACAGACGCGACGCTAGTGCGGCAAAACCATTAATAGATCCATCTTGAAAATCGTCGACTGTCAAATTTGAGATATATCGATAGTTGTTTTGAACATCGATACATCTTTTCAGCAAAAGGGTAGGATTTCCAAGTCTGGAAAATCAATGAAGCGCACTTCAACAGGATGTGGAAAATAAATCTCGATGGTTTTTCGCCCAACGCGACTTTCAAAATGGTTTTTGTTGCAGGCTAGTTCATTAGGGTGACCGATCCTCAGGATTTCAATCGAAATTAATCGACGGACCGATAGGAGGAAGTCACAGCGAAGCGCGTTTATATTCGCCACAGTCCATCTCTAGCAGCCAACTTGCAGCACGTAAATTTTGTTGTTTTCTCGAAAACCATAGACTAGCAGATTATAAGAAATGTTGCAACGCTAGCCCTCACAGAGTGAATAATCATTGCGAGATGTGCTAAAAAACGAGTGGACAGAAACGAAGTAATAATACAAATCTAGGGGCTGATTGCTCTGAGTGCGGCTGTGTGCGTGATGTGAGTGAAAGTTCTGGTGTAGTGTGCGTGTGTTTGTGTACAACCACAAAAAATTAGGCAAATTTGTTGTTATTTTTAGTTAATTTCGGCCCTTTTTTATACTACGCTATTGCACCTTTCGCGATTATCCGTTTGCACGAAAACATACTAAAAATTCCTGCGTGAAAGAGAAGCCCGCGCCTTCTGTGAACTGTTTTGGAACCTGCCTGTATTCTCCATTTCCCTTCCCTCTCTATCCATTAGTATTAACTAATCACGGACAATTGGCCGAAACGACAAAACAGCAACTAAAGGAAGTAAATAATTAATCGGGCGAGAATTTCACTCAAAAGCAGCCACAACTCAAACCCGAAACCCGCTTCAAGGTAAGTTTGTTTGTAACCCGTTCTTTGCACACATTCACACACTCCCATAAGTGTACATACACCAGTGTGCAGTGGAGCTGCATTTGCAAATTGGAGAGTTATTGATAAAGCTTATCTACGCTACGCTATGAGATATCATAAATTATGGGGACCTGGCCAGAGATAACAAGGGGATTGGGTTCCTTATCTTACAGTCCTCTAACCAAATAGCACCTAGTCAAATGTAGGCACCTATTTTGAACTGCAAGTTGTAGTTGTCCGTGAGAATTCGCCGAGTACAAAAGAACATGGAAAACGTTTTTACACGTTCTAAACGTAAGGGTGCAACAAACTTTAGCTTCTTTGATTTTCTTTTTTCACCGACTGCATTTCACCTGTTTGTTGGCTGTCTGACGCTTCTTTTTAATCATATTAAGCAAAACGCCAGGCACGCGACGCATGACGAAAGCGGCGGCGTCTGCAACCAGAACCTGGCATACCCATGCCTTCCACACCCCATCCACAAGCAGCCCCATCACTGACCTACAAAGAGTACATTGCACGCCGCCAGCTCTGCCGCGAAACTATGCACAGTCAAGGGTGGGTTTTTACATTTATCCAGAGTTGCGAATCGGATTTGTAAGGAAAACGCTCAATCTGATGATAGCTGAAAGGTTTAAGGGAGGGGCTACCAGAAGCACTCCCACAGAGATGGGAAAGGCATGGAGTCCTTCCCCCCCCCCCCCCCCCCCCCCCC